TGCTTGGAAGTCTGAAGTTATTCCTCCTCAGGTCTGCTCAGCTCTTTCTAGGAATTGCTCCCCTTCATCCTGCAGTGGAGGGCATGGCCACGGTCCTGCCTGCTCTTTATTTCTTGTTTTCAGTGAATGCAAACTTCAGAAGAATCACGGATGGTTTCCTAGGCACGGCTGCAGTATTTTCTTTTCTGCAGGTGTAGCAGCAGTCAGCTTCTTTTAGCAGGAGGGCCTCACCCAGCACGTTCAGGCCTTCTGCTCCCGGTGACAGGTACCTCGTCGCTCCGGCACGCTCATTACAGACGGAGGCTTCGCCCCGTTCCCCTGGGCGTGCAGCGTACGACACCAGTGAGCGGAGCACACCTTTCCTTCTGACCTCTGCTTGCACCAAGGGAGTCGCTTCCTCAGACAAGTGCAACATCCAATAATTAGGAACAGGAAAAGCTGTGAGAAAAATGTGAGCCTCATGCAACAGCAGGAAAGGACCTCAGGACTAAAGTGATCCCCCTCTCCTTTACATTCAAGTGATCTCTTCATTCTCCGGACTGGGAAGGGTCCCTTGCTGTAGTATTCAGTCTTTGGTATTTGATTATGTGATTCCTTGAATAATAGGAAATAGAGAAGGGGGAATACATTTAAAAAAAATGTTGGTTACAAAATACAAGGAGAGTTAGGGAAGGAGAGAGGGAGAAAAGGTAAAAATCCCAACAAAAGACAGAAGTTTGAAACATCCAAACTCACGAGGATAAGCATAACACTTTCCTCTTGCGCCAGAGGAAATATTGTGATTCGGTTATAAAGCACAAAGGACAACATATATATATATATTTTTTTTTCCTTTTTTTTTTTTTTTTAAAAAAGGAAGGCACTGGCCCAAGGAAAGGCTCACTGTGCACGGCTAATTTGTCTGCCTGATAGAAAACACTGCCTGGTGAAAAACGCTTACTGAAAAGCAGCCCAAGAGAAAGCCTGGAGTGGGAGCAGGGTGGCTGCACACAGCTGGAGAGCAGCTCAGCATCAAGGTGAGCCGGGGAGGCTGCCGAGGGCTGCGCACAGGTAGATTCCGTGCACAATAACCTTCAGATCACATTGCACAAAGCACATGCAAAATAATTTTTCCTGGCTCCCCTGAGGCATCCAGCAGGCTCCCGTGGAGGGCACCCTGCGTCACAGCCCTGGCTGGCTCCGTGTGATCCTGTCACGTGGAGCAGATCTGGTTGCAGCTGCAGCCTTTAGCTACCTGGCTCCGTTTGTAAGGGCAGAGCAGACAGACATGACTAAAGTCATAGAGATTTTTATTCTCAAAGGTCCAACCAGGAAGTCACAGACTTAGGGCTCGGTCTTGCATAATTGGGTAATAATGCTAAAGCTTTATGTGCTACCCAAGATAACTTAGATCAACGAAACTGGGAGCAAGTTATTTGATCAGTAAAAGCTTAGCCAGTGTTTTATTATTCACCCTATCCTACATCTCAGAATACCAATGTGATTGTTTCACTTACAGGAATATTTTGCACTATATCTCTGTGTACTTAGGCAACCAGTGTATCGTATGACCTAAGCCCCAACTTTATAGTCTTCCTGATGATGGGGAAGATGGATAAAGCTGGTGCTTGGTGCATTTTGGGACTTACAGTAGCAGCTGGGTGACTTTGTACAGCTTACCCTTTTGTCACCAGAAGCAAAATTATGCAGCTGAAATCCACCAGAAATTCCTCTGACAACCCACCATCATCAACCCAGCTCAGAAATGGCCAAATACTGTTTTTCAGAATCGAGTAAAGAAACAGAAATGAAAATTAAATTCAAAATTCCAAGCACAAAAACATAATTCTTCAAAATCTGGCTGTCATGTTTTGCCAGTCACTCCAGCACAACATTCTCCTGTGCTGCCCAGCAAACAGATGGGAAATGGAGACAGCTCTCAAAAGACAGAATAGCTGTTCCGCTTCAGTGTGCTTTGTGCATGTAAAAGAAGATATTTGTACAGGGTAGCTAAAGGTGTGTGTGGGGGGAGTCATTGAAAGAATTTAGGGCTATTTCTATTTTTCAAGTGTTTGTACATTAAAAAAAAAAATCATTGCTGCCACATAAATGTTCTTCAGAATTACCCCTGCTTGCCTGGGCATGCACAAGGTTTTAATTCAGCATCTTATACACTTGTCCTTCAATACCTTTTGCACTTTCAAGGAAGGTTCTGGTATGTGTGTCCCTGCTGCCCCAACAAGCCCTTCTCTTTCAGGTCAGTGTGCACCCCTGTGTCTTTTTGTGCTTCAGGAGCAAGTGTTTGTTGTAACAATACTCCAGGTTGGTTCCTTTTTGTACTGTGTCATTTTTAAGTAACCACGGCTTTCATTGTGAGCACTTGAGCTGCACTGAAAGGATTAAGCGACTCCTACCATTCCCAGAAGGCCTCTTAGATATAAGAGACATTAGCCTCTGTGGAGCTACAACTATGTAGTAAAATATCTACCTCTGTCAAAAGCATTTGCATCAACTGAAATTCCATGGCTTGGAACTGGGCTCTTCTGCAAAGCAGAGGAAGTTCAAAAGCCAAGAAGGCCATTGCCTGGATAGCGCTTGTGTCAGTGACAGCTGGGTGACAGTGCAGCAGGCTAAGGGTAGAGCCCCAGGGAACCCATCCTCTCCAGAGCAAGGAGCTGCCCTTGGAAACAGAAGGATTGAGGTGCTAGAAGGCTGGGGGAAGGAAACACTTGTCACTTCAGTTAACTGATAGAAAAAGCAAATTCAATTTAACCAATCACAGCAACAAGCCAGTCCATCAGACACTCAAACTGACAGTGCCAGTCCCCAGCAGCCCAGCCTGCATCGGAGGAGCAGAGCAAACACTGGCCAGTGGAGAAGCCATTTCAGCAGTGGAGATGCGTGGAACAAGATGAACATGAACACAGTGAGAAGCTCAGATACAGACCGCTGCGTGCAAAGGATTGGGAAAGGGAGAAGTGAGAGAAAAACAGGCTGATTGAAGGGATGGGAGAGGAAGGTAGATGAGAGGCAAGGGTTGCAGGACAGAACTTTAGAGCTTAACGCGATAACTGTCAATTAGATGAAAGCAGAAAAATCAATGGTAACTTTGGCAAAGAAACACTGGGATGCAAAGCAGATGGATACCCGGCAGATCAATTAATTGATCCCCAGAGCAGTCAAGACACCGGCAGCAGGATAAATCAAAGCTAAGCACAGCTTTGGGGGCAGTCTTCCCTTTGCTTTTGCACTCTGTTCCACCACTTAGCAATATGTTTCAGCAGTTTCTCTGCAAACACTCTTCAGCTCTGTTACAGTCAGCTCTTTCCTGCAAAGCAGATGGATACCCAGCAGATCAATTAATTGATCCCCAGAGCAGTCAAGACACTGGCAGCAGGATAAATCAAAGCTAAGCACAGCTTTGGGGCCAGTCTTCCCTTTGCTTTTGCACTCTGTTCCACCACTTAGCAATATGTTTCAGCAGTTTCTCTGCAAACACTCTTCAGCTCTGTTACAGTCAGCTCTTTCCTGTTTACAGAGCCTGTCTTCTGCAGTAACCCACTGGAGGCAGAGACATTCTCTCCAGCTGCATTTACACTATTTGATGGGTCTTGATCCTTTTTGGATAAGCTGAGTGCTAGTCACTAAATGGTAACCCAGTACTAACAACCTTTACTGAAAAACACATGAAAATATGAAAAAATGAAAAACAAAACAGTCCCCACAAACCCACCTGGGCTAACACCATGAGGGGCAGAACTTCAGTCCAGAGGGATCTTGGGCAATTTAAGAGTCGTGTCAAGAAAAACCTTGTGCCATTCAAGACGACCAGGAGCTCTACGCCTGGAGCTGGATAGCCTAGAGCTGGATAATGGGTGCACTGAGCTGCACCCTGCTGAGAAGGGTTAGGGGTTACAGCAGGCAGGAGGCTGACCATAAACCAGCAGTGCAGCCCTACCACGGATAAGGCAAACCACAGCCCGGGTTGCATTGAGAGCTACAGAGCCAGTCCCTTGCTCGGGCAAAACACCTTTCCCGGATCCAAACAAAAATAAACACACAGGAGACACACACAGCCCCACAGGCCCTGTCAAGCAGCACGCTCTCTGCACCCCTCATGGCAAAGGAACACAATGCCCGATTCCATCCCAGCTTGCCAAGCTGCAAACTCATCCAAAGTATCATCTGAAAGCCATCTGCAATAACTCTTTATAGAAATTCTTCACCATTTCCTGAGCAGCTGTAGGAAAGCTTTCAGTTAGACTGCATCCTCAGAAATATCTTTTTCATATACTAAAATAATTTAAAGATCTCTCTTCAGCAGAACTTTTCCATATGCCTTTTTGGAGGCAGAAGTCCCCTTCAACTGAAAGTTTCTCCTCCCATCTTCCCCATTAGATCCTCAAAGGAATATTATCAAGTAGGGCAAAGCATTACTGGCAGTAGAGATGTCTTCACACTTAAACTGAAGCATAAAGGGCCCGATAGGCTGTAGCTGAAAAAAAATGATATAGAAAATAGTTTATTTTCCCTTTCCAACAGATCTGAATAGTTATTTCAGATGCAATCTACCTTTAAAATAGTACAAGACTGCAAAGCACACAGAGCAGAGCAAACGCCCAGCCCTCAAGAAGAGCTAGAGCATTGTAACAAAAACAGACCTTCCTAGAAAAATACTGCCAAAGGTGAAAATCCATTTACTTTTATATTACTAAAATATTTAAATATTTTAAATATACTAAAATGTTTTTAATTGCTGAAATATAATATATATACACATATAATCTCCATCCTTCTCTCTCCTTCTCCTGATAATGAGAAGTTTTGTTTGAACAAGGATTTGAAGACTGCCTTATAACAGTATTTAACCACAAAGTATTTGGAATATTAGCAGGTACCTTCTGCCTCTCCCAAATACTGAAGGGAGAAAAAAAAAATCCCTATCACACCCAAGTCAGGTGAGCTAACAAGTAGCACAGGCTTCAGATTAGCGGGGTTGTGCTGTTTCACCACGGTGCTGCTTTCCAGTGCATCGGGATTCCAGTTCACTCGGGCACAGTACAAGAGAGCTGGTGACTCCCAGCAGTAGAGATCTTCTTGTATTTGTATATGAAAGCATCTGTCTTTCCCAGGCTAACCCCATAGATGCCATCTGGCACCAGTGACCCAAAACACATCTGTTTGCTGCTAGGAAAGGCTTCTTCAGCATCAGTCACCACAGAGGAAGAATTCCCATTGACATCCAAGGCTTTCAAGGTGGCGGTTTCATTTGCACCATCAGAAACAGCTTTAGGAGACCCATTGCTTTCAACAGGCTTCAGCATCTCATCCATGTCCTTACGGAGGTCTTGACTGAGCAGCAAAACAAGGGTCCCTCCAACACGAAGTACTCTGGCAATTGCAGGAAAACAAAGGTTAGGTGTTCATTCCCCAGCATTCACTGATCTGTGCAGAACTCAACATTACTGATACTTCACATGCCTCTGATATCCAAGCCAAGTCTCCAAATCTTCCTAATTCTTCCTAAATGAGAAAACTGGGCCCTTTACTGACTTCCAAACATTCCTGACTTCGGGAGTTCTTTCCATTTGGCCGGAAAGTTACTCCAGTAGTAACTGAAGTCTTCAAACTCAGGAACCTGACGTAGATTAACTGTTGTTTGCAACCTGTTTTTTTCTTAGCACATGAGGAAACTTTAAACTTGGCTTTTCAAGAGGAATAGACCACATGGGCTCTGTTTACAGCAAGTAGATGAAGAAAAAGTCCATCTCCACTTTCCCAAGGAAATATTCTGCTTAGGACGACCCAACAGAAAAGGCAGAGAACAGAAGGTAAAAGTGTCCAACAAGGCCAAAGAAAATACAGTCAGCATAAACTGACCTAAGATTGCCCTGACGACTCTGGGGAGCTACCCCACCTCCTTCACCATCTTCTTCCCACATCACTGCTACTGGGTAAGTCAGATCAATATCCAGATGAAGAGTAACTCTGCAGAAAGAGCTTGCTTTGAGACAAAAAATGTGTGTGTGGTGAGGGGGGAGCAGATGACTGGAACTGCTTGTTAAAAGCAATTCACTATTAGCCTGGCTTCACTCTGCCATAAAATGACAGGTGAGATATGTAGATACAAAAAGAGATACAAAAAGAGGCATTTAAAAGAAAACCAGGTGTTCAGGAGACCACATGGGCTCTCTTTACAGCAAGTAGATGAAGTCCATCTCCACTTTCCCAAGGAAATATTCTGCTTAGGACAACCCAACAGACAAAGTCAGGGAACAGAAGGTAGAAAATATCCAACAAAGCCAAAGAGAAGTACAGGCAGCATAAACTGACCTAAGATTGCCCTGACGACTCTGGGGAACTACACCACCTCCTTCACCATCTTCTTCCCACATCACTGCTACTGGGTAAGTCAGATCAATATCCAGATGAAGAGTAACTCTGCAGAAAGAGCTTGCTTTGAGACAAAAAATGTGTGTGTGGTGAGGGGGGAGCAGATGACTGGAACTGCTTGTTAAAAGCAATTCACTATTAGCCTGGCTTCACTCTGCCATAAAATGACAGGTGAGATATGTACATACAAAGAGAGATACAAAAAGAGGCATTTAAAAGAAAACCAGGTGTTCAGTAAGTTACCAGTACCCTGACAGAGGGGAACAAGCTTATCACCATTTTCTGGTCTAGAATCTTTCCTGCTAAGTCAGGCTGGTAACGAACTTGGCTGTGAACTCAGAATGAGCATTTTTGATTTAATACAAGCAAACCTCAATTTAAAAAGTATTAGTGTATAATTCACTTAGCATTACTTCAAGTTTGGCTAGGTTATCCCCTTCTTTCTCAAAAATCTTCCCTCTTTTGCCTTTATCTGTAGCCATTGTGATTTGAAAAGAATGCTTGTAAGCACAGCTCAGGCAACACCCATTAGCAGCCTGTGCTGCCAGCAGCGCTTCGCAGCTCGCAAGACAAGCCACAAGAGCTTTTAAGGGACAAATAAAAACAAATCTCAGACTTTCAGCACCTTTCACAGGGTTACAGAGGCAGGGAGTGCTCAGAGCAAAGCTGAAGCTACTGCATGCTTAGTGCTGCAAACCATCATTACGTTTACACCACACCCTGCGCACCGCAAGCCCCACACATACCTCTCCATCTCCCAGAGAATGCCTGGTAGGTACAGTGCCTCTTCTGTGATCTTGAACTTCTTGCCAAATGGAATATCAGAAATCACAGTGTCAAAGCTTTCTGAAGGCAGTGGCAGTGCTGTAGGATAAAGGCAGGTCTTTACATCTGACTATCTGAAAAACGTGGAGGAGCTTCAATGCCAGTGACCTTAAAACATCTGCCAGCTCTTCCAAAGGTGACGGACCAGACCCATAGCCCCTTCAGAGACTCTATTTATCTGCATAAACAGCACTATGAGGTCAACCCGATGCAGACTGAGTTAAGACACGGAACGTGAGAGAATAGTTTAGCTCACGAATTGCGTTACTAGCAATACATCTACCCCATCAGTAAGACTCCAAAATAGGATGTTTCCAAATAAATTGCTGCTTCTCAACATGCAACTTTGCATGCCAAGCATGGGAGAAGAGTTAAGCTTGCAAGCACTTCACACAGTGCATATGTTCAAATAATGCAAGGGGCCAAACGTTAAACCTGCCTCCCCACAGGAATACTTTGTTTTTTCTTCCCAGCTTATATGGAAAGGACACGTATGTTGGTGGGTCTAGGCCAGCAGCCACCTGGCTGGGGAGTAGCTCTGCAGAAGATCTGTGAACTGCTGGTGAACCCAGCAGAGCACCTCTGTGGTGACCAAGGCCAACCACATACCGTGCTGTGCTGGCCACAGTGTAGACAGTAGGTTGAAGGAAGAGAGATTTCCCATCCCTGGGAAAGCTCAAAAATCAAGCAACCTAACTCAGCTTGAGGGCTAGCCCTGCTCTAAACAGAAAAGCTGGACTAAACTTCTGGAGGTTTCCCCCACTTAAATCCTCCTGTGATTCTATGCTAGCCTTTCCAGAAGGGCTGGAGGTGTTTCTTCCATCATCCTGAGATCAGCACTTACAGTAAAACATTTTATCTACAAGTAGAAGGACAAGTTACCTACAGCCCTCCACAAAACATGCAGAAAGAAGAGTTTCCGAGTGATGCCTAAGACACCAGCTCTAGCTGTTCAGTATAAGGAAAGCCTGACGTAAGGGTACCTCCTAGAAGTCAAGCTCTAAGGGCTTTACAACCAGTTGTTCTAATAAGAAATAAATATTGCAAGGAAAGAGAAATTTACACTCCATCCACTTGTGCACAAGAAAGAACACCTAGCTTCTGTCTGTCATGAATTTCAAATAAGACTAATTCAGATTTAAGCTCTGAGGCCCAGAAGAAAGTTATAAAAGTACTACTACCTTCTTCCCAAACTAGCTCATGAACTGACAGCAAACTAATTACCTCTTTTGAGAAAAAGCCACCATCATTTAAAGTATATCCACTGGAAAACAGTAATAATTCAACATTACATTTTATTCATCTGGTAAATTCAAATTACAAACCACACTATATATAGATTTGCCTTCACCGTGCTCCCACAATATACAGAAACTCTTATGTTGCAAATAATATGAAATTTGCAACCATGAAGACTAATATACAAAATTATTGCTCATGTCTGAAAACTATTTTTGTTGTCAAAGTTCAGAAAACAAGTATCCCCTCACTAGCATTACAGAGGGTCACCTCTCAGATACTTGTTAAAGGTTAGCTCTAGTACAGATCATCTATTAGAACTACACTATATGCATAAGCCCAAAACTACAACAGACTTAAAACATGCCTTACTTGGGACATTTCCAGGCATACCTTTCACAGAAGCTTTAAGTAACTCAATGTTATCCATCAAGCCTGCATTCCTAATATTTGTATATGCACCCTCTAACTGTGAGTCACTTATATCAGCGCCCCAGTAACAGGCTTCCTGTTCAGAGAAAAAAGGGAAAAGTCATTAAAAGGCATTTAATTGACAAACAGGTATATTTATTGCATAAATCCTCTATAATACCTTTGTTTCACCACTCTTTGAGGACCAGCTCTTTGGTTGGGGTTTCATTACTACGACACAAGAATAATATAAAGACCAGGAGGACAGAAGAAGGGGGAAATTTGTGACATCTTTACTTCCCTTCATGTTCTCTGCTGCTTGAAAGACCAGATGGAGGAACACAGGCTACGCCATAACAGCAAGATCCCAGCCACTTACTTATGGCTAGCTGCACCGACTCCAATGCCAACAGCTCATGGCAATGTCCCATAGACACCTCCATTCCATAATAAATGGGAATCCACATCCAATCTATAATTCCAGGCTTAAAAAAAAAAATAAAGCAGCCCATGGCTGACTTGAGCCCTGTGCACATACAGGGTTCCCAGCACCCTTCTGCACAAGCGTGCAGAAGTGTTTTACACTCACGTGAAGGAATGTCTGCACTAATGCATTTTCAACAACTGTCTGGAAAGACCTATTTGGTTCCAATTTTCCAGTAAGAAAATGGGCTTTAGTATAACTGTGATACAGATTTCTCCTCATGCTCTTACAAGCAATCTTGCAAGGCTCCTACCATACTTACAGGCCACTCTTTTGCAGCTTCCAGCAGGATTGTTCCTAACCCACACATCGGATCCAGCACAAATGCACCAGCCTACAAAGGCAAAAGGGTTTAGTGCATCCCACCCAAGCAAGGTAACAGACTCCTCTCACAATGCAAAGTTTCCTCCAATGTACTCAACTATAAATTACCACTGAACCCAGCATGGGTAACAATGACCATTGCTTTACCACACCAAAATCACTTCCAGGGCAATATAGCAAAAAACATGAATAACTTCATTAAAGATAACACATCAAGTGTATCCAATCTTGAGGTGGTATTTGAGAAACAGAGAAACACTTGAGTGCAGACAGATCTTGGAATCAAATCAATCACTGAAAATCATTGTCACTCTCATTGGGAGAGAAAAAATCCCAAACAAGTCTGGAAGTATGAACAGTGTAAAAAGATGTGCAATTTAAACAGTTCAGGGAGGAACAGCCTAACTGAGAAGAACCTGGGGTTACATCAGATATCAAGGTGAACAAAAGCAGATATTACGGTCTTGTCAGAAATCAGGCAAATCCTGCCTCAGACTACATTAAGAGCAGCATGACCAGCACAGCCAAGGAGTTCCTGTTGGCTGCAGAGTAAAATTGCTTCCCTGGAAGGGCACTGCATCCCTGGGATAAAGCAGACAGGTGGAAGTTCTCCAGGCTCAGCTAGGCAAAGTCATGGCTCCTCTGAACTACTGTTTTGGCAACAGTTCCATTCTCCAAGGGCAAAGTAGGAGATCCCTATGAACCAACACTGCATCCCCTACAGTCTAGGAGAAGTCACACTGGGTGTAAGAATTGAAATCTTTATGGGAACCAATTGTTTGTAGTGTCAAAAGGATACCCTCGACTGGAACACCCCTTACTCTATAAAAATACATATATGTAAAAATATAAATATATAATATAAACATATTTTATTTATATCTTATATATTTACATTATATTTATATACATAGAAATAATATATATTTAGTATATATAAATAATAATTTTTAAAAAATCCTAGGACTCCTCTAGGCTTTCACACTTGTTTCTGAAACTTAGCACCAATACTGTGACTTGGATCACAGCGTAGGTACTAAAAGCTTAATACTTCAGACTCGTAGCTTCAGTTCTAACTGGCAGCTGTACTCCCTCATGTGGGTCTGTACACGCCTGCCTTCACTCACACTGATTTCAGCCAGAGATGCCATGGCCCATGCAATCGTTGATCGTAGTCCTGCTGTTTGGATATACTCCCTGTTTGCCAATGGAATCCTGCAGACAGCAAGAGCAACGTAAGGTCATGGTACGATCAAGCCTGAAGAGTCCATGTAACAAGACCAAGAAGCAGAGTTCTCAGACTGGCAAACACAAAGACAGGCTGCTTTCCTCTGAGATCCTTGCAAAGTCTAGACTACATGCTCGGGAAAGCTCTAGACAGACCACAAGACAGTCCAATGAACATTAAACCAGACAATAAATAATAACAGCGGGCAATAGAACTGGTTAGAAATGCTTGCTCTAGTACTGCCAAAACAGATCTGGTGATAAGAATGCCTACCTGAAAAGAGGAATTCCCAAGACAGAGTGAATGTCATTTAGATGCACAAAAATCTGAAATACAGAAAACAAGTTAAAATCTGTCAGTTAGACATTATGTAAACTTAACTCCTTTAAGCCAGATTCAGAGGATGTTTCTGCAAGTGTCTGATCCTAGCTTAACAACAAAAATACTTTAGAAAATTAGAAATTAACTGGACAGAGTTACACTGGGTGTAAGAATTGAAATCTTTATGGGAACCAGTTGTTTGTAGTGTTAAAAGGAGACCTTTGACTGGAAAACCATTTACTCTAAGCAGGAGAAGCTAGCTCACTGTATACACTGGCACCAGGAGAAGAAAGATCATCAAAAATTGCTGGTAAGTATTCATCTCCCTCCTGCCCTTGAAATGAGTTCCTTTACTCAGCATTTCAGATAAAAGGCAGAGGTGGATTATTCTTTCAGAAATACATAGGGTTTCAAGAGCTTGTGCTCCTGTGCCATAGGGAGTATCCCAAAAAGAGAAGGCTCTGAGCTGTCCAACATCTGTTTTGTGAATGCAATCCCTCCCCAAGAAGCCCAAAGGAAAACATGCTACTCTTGAAGAATCCCTATGTCCGAACTTGAACAGTTTTGCTTTGAGTTTTGTAGCAAAACTCTGATCAAATTATGAGCAAGCCTTCCATTCCTGTTTCAATGAAGCCTTATTGGATGCAGTCTGCAGTGCAGTGTGCAAAGGGAACTGAAAACAAACCAAAAAATAAAAAAAACACCACGAGAAATGCAAGGCAAACCTGAAAGCAGCAAATGGAACACTTGGCAGACACACAGCACTACCTCTAGATCAGGATTCCGCAAGTCAGCCCTCCATCCAAACTGCTTCATAAGTGCTATGCCAATTGCTCTTCCAATCTCCTGAGAGAAAGATAATAGCAGGCAATTAAGAAAACTACATATATAGAGAGAAAGACATCACTTTAGTCCTTATATAACAACCCCAACACCACAGCTGTCATTGTACAATCCTTGGGAAGAAAAACTGTCTCTCTAATCCCTACAGAAATACTCCTACAAAGGCCTGAAATGCAGGAAAGTATAACAAGAAAGACACAGAGTAACCATTTTGTCCAACAGCATGTTTATTACTCACCTGCAGTGTGCAAGGCTGAAGTTCAAGTCTGTCTCATGACTAAAGAGAAATTTATCAATGCACAACTCGCAAAAAAACTCTCTATATTTATGCATATGTTGCACACATACATGCACTCAGACACAGCCTCTAAAACTTTTTTGCTACCCTGAAGACCAAGGGTTCAAACTCACACCATGAACTTAAGCAAACATTTGTATTGGCATGCTTATGGCATCCCACCTTCCCAAGGCACTAACTTCACCAGGGCAGGAGAAGGAAGTGAGCCCAAGCCTGCACCAGCTTTTACAAGCCCAGCTACCTCTGCCTTAACACCGTCTGCCTGTCCTCAACAGGAGACACCGATATGGAAACCAGGCAGGGTAAGATCTCACCTCACACCCAACACCACTGCTTGCATTTCTATTTGCTGAAGGTAAAGCAGGTTATGTGCTTTTTGGGAAAGTACAGGAATAGATCAGTTGGCTATTCCAAAACATATAGCACAATTTAAATTGCAAATAAACTACACATTTCCTTCCATGTTCACTAATTTGTTTCAAACACAGATAACTTAACATACTTGTGAAGTAAGTATTTTGGCAATTGCTCCACTACAGCGACAAGAAACTCTGAAACTGAAGGTGTGCTTCTCGTTGTCAATGACTTTCTCTTCACTGCTTTTGGAAGGTTCTTCTCTAGAAGTCTTGCTTTCTGCCCCGAAGTCCTGATTGCTCTTTGTCCCCACGCAGCTCTCCTCAGCTCCTGCTTGACACTCCTCAGGAAGAGGATCTGTCCTCTGTCTTTTAGCTGCAATATTCACTTCTTCTTCTGGTTTTCTCTTGAGAGGCAAGGGCTTTTCTTGAGAGAAATGATCCTGTTTCCCCTTGTGTCCATGAAGATTTTTCCAAACAGAGATAATATCAAGCCAGTTTCTTGGTTCCTCAGTAACAAAGCTTTTAATTTCATATAATGCTTTCCCTGCAAGGAAAAGACCTTTCAGGTTAATCAGTTTTATCTCAGCATTTGATTTCCCTGCATACTGGTAACAGATGCTCACAGTGTTTCAACTTCATTAACATTTGAACCCAGGAACTGCAGCACTACACATTAAACACAGCTGAGCTCCCCAGTGCTCATGTCCCCCATCAACAGAGATGCACACAAAGTCCCATGCAGACTCTGCTGA